TCCACAATTAAGGCATAAAATTAAAATCAAGTTTAATTATTATTTCGTATTATGAAATTTCAAATTAATAAAATATATTAAAATATAATAAGTTACTAATCAAAAAAATTATAAATTAATCCAGTATAATTGTTTGAATGTATAATAGAAATACTCAATTTCAAATTATTATCAACAAAAAATATTGTATATTTATTAGACAGTACAATGTAAAAAAAAAATTGTTAATAATTTTTTTTATTAAATAGATATTCTAATATTCCAAAATATTGAAAAAAAACAACTGTATTCCTTTATTTTAATATTTGAATATTAAATAAATATTTTTTTTCTGAAAATTATTAGAATATTCGTAAAAAAATTGAGTATCCTGAATTTTTTCAATAAATATATTTTGAAATATTGAAAATATAAATTCAATATCTTTTTCGAATTTATAGAAAATTAAATTTGGAAATAATATTCATACATGTGGTAAATGTTTAAAGGGGTTTTTATGCACAAGTCCCCAATCAAGCATATTTATTACTCTAGGTTTAAGGGATATATCTCTTTCACCAATAAGCCCATCCCTTTAATATTTATTATAAATAAAGGAAACATTCATGTATATATCCCAATATTACCCTCAACCATTTATACACAATTTTTTAATTGTAATCCTAATTTAATCAATTTTGTCCACAAGAATCCAATTTTGACCAAAAAAATTCAATATTGACTTTTTTTTTTTTAGCATACTTTAATATGCTCCAATTTCATCCTTAACTTAATTTAATTTCAATTTGACCTCAAATTTCACAAATTATCAATTTTGACCAAAAACTTATTTTTTTTTAGCATACTTTAATATGCTCCAATTTCATCCGGTGTTGACTTCTCAATTTTTTTTTCTTTCAGATTTTTTCGCCGGTTTCCGGCTTTGACTTTTTTTTTTTTTTTTTTCTTTTTTCTTTTCTTTTCTTCCGGATTTTTTCGCCGGTTTCCGGCGGTCTCCGGCGTTGAAATTTTTTAGGGTTTTTTTAAGTTTTTTTTTTTTTTTTTTTTTTTTTTTTTTTTTTTTTTTTTACGTCCGTCGCTAAACGTTGACCGTAATTGTGTTGTCACTGACAGTAAATTAAGGTAATTATACTGTCAATGACAGTTAATTAACGTAATTGTACTGCCGTTGACAATACATTTATGTAATTGTTCTCCCGTTGACAGTAAATTAACGTAATATTATTATTTTTTATTTTTTGTTATTTTTTTTTTATTTTTTTTTATTTGTTGAAAAGTCAACGTAATTATATTACTGTCGTTGACAGTAAAATAACTGTAAACACAATAATATTACTGTCAACAACATCAATATTATTATTTTTTTGGGTTTTTTTGTTTTGTTTGAGTTATTCACGGAGTAACGTAATAATATTAGTGTCTATTATTGTAATATTACTGTAAACACAATAATATTATGTGGTTGACGGTAATATAACTGTTGTTATAATAATATTGCTGTCAACCACATCAATATTATTATTTTGTTTGAAATTTTTTGTTTGTTTAAGTTATTCACGGAGTAACGTAGTAATATTACTGTCTATTATTGTAATATTACTGTGGTTGACGGTAATATTACTGTTGTTAGAGCAATATTACTGTCACTTACAGTAATATTAATTCATTTGGCTTTTTATTATGTTTACATTTGTTGAACGGTCAACATAGTAATATTACTGTATTACACAATAATAATGAGTTTTGTTGTGTTAATATTACTGTGCTAGAGATTAATATAGCAATATTACTGTGTTAAACTGTAGTTTAGTTAATTTTACTGTGTTTAACAGTAAGATAGTTAATATTACTGTCAATCACAGCAATATTGTTGTTTAAACGAAAAAAAAGAAGTTACAGAAAGAAAGAAAAGAAGAAAAAAAAATCGAAAAAGTCAACGCCGGAATCCGGCGGGAAAAAAAAATATTTTGAAAAAAAAAGTTTTGGGTCAAAATTGAATAGTTTGTAAAATTTGGGGTCAAATTGAGGTTAAATAAAGTTAAGGATGAAACTGAAGCATATTAAAGTATGAGGGTTTATTTTTGTCCTTTACAAAAATCTGGACCATATGTGGACTTATTGGTAAATGAGTTTTTTGTCTGGATCTCTTTATGATAAGTACCCATTGATTGACTTATTTGTAAAGACCCCTTCTATAATTATTTTTTGATGGGAATTTCCTCCCATATATTTTTT